GCCGTTCTTGAGGCCCTTCATTAAATCGGAAATAGAAGATAGATTGACTCAAGCCAGCTTAAACAAGAGAAGGCGGAATGAGACCAGTGTGATGATGGTCGGAGCAAGGTCGGAGGCAAGAGGCGCTTGTTTGCATCGGTGGTGATCGTCAAATATATGTTTACAGCCACTGGGCGCCTAAACGAGTCATCGCGAAACGTCTTTCTACATCAACCTCTTGCAGCTTTTGCGCGGATCCGTGGATCCTTTTTTCGCTTTGTTGTTTCTCATCTCATCCTTGGGGTCTTTCGCGTCAGAAACGCGGTCCACAAGCTCCCCGACCCATGGACCCACAACATCTTCCGCAACCACGGATGTGAAGATAGAGACCACGTCCTGCAACGATTCAACTTCTGACGCGCAGGTGAACAAGAATTCTCTGGAAGGCTATGCTATGCACCCCACGGAGCACGGGGGATTGCCGTGGGCCGCTGCTGATTCGATATTTGGTGAGCATCCAGACTCCAGAGTCCTGATTCGTTTCTTTTGCATTTTCCAGCTAATTACGTCAATCTAACCCTGCGGCTTTGTGTTGTGGTATGGTCATCCAATACTACTAGGCCCAACATTGGTTGATTCCCCTTTTAGATTGCCTTGGAGCGGGGCCTTGACTGTGAGTGCCTCGGGTTCGATCATGTTCGCCCATGATTGACTTACTTGTAAACTATCTTTCACAGGTTCAGAGATATCTGCCCTCCAAGATCCATTCAAAACACGAACTCTTTCTCTCAGTTACTTGAACTCAGCGCTGCTACAACATACAGTAAGTAACAATGTTGGTGTATGCACAACAGTGACTCTCTCCTGTCTAGCTAATCGTTGTTTGTTTTGGAGGAAAGTACAGTCGCCTCCGACCGGTCTGGTTCCTTGAAGCTTCCAAGATCTCATTCTCACTGGAAGGTATATCTCCTAGTGACGGTACACCCCATTTTTGTTCGTATTGAATTTTAACGCTGGACAAACGGGATCGGAAGCATTCGGGGATCATGATCTCAGATACACACACGTTCGGCATTCCAGGTAGGCATTTAATAAATAGTACAACCAGCAGGCCCAAAGTGGAATATAAAAGAAACAAAATGGCTATCACATTTCCGGCGCATCGTAGAAGACCTCTTCCCCTTCCTCATCCGCGATCTCGCCGTCCTCGACATCATCTGCGGCCTCGCTATCATCGGCATCGTCATCATATTCCTGCCCCTCAGCTTCCGATGCACCTTCAGACGCAGGCGGACTACCATGCTCACTCTGCGGCAAAGGCTCCTCATCATCATCGTCGTACCGCACCTCGTGGAACGATTGCAGCGCCTCCGCGTCGCACTCATACAGACTGTGATCCTCCACGTCCGAATCCTCCTGGTCCGCAAAATAGCACTGCTCCGCATCCTCTTCCGCATGCTCGTACGCCGCATCGGGGCTGAACAGCTGGGGAAAGCGGTGCGACAGGGAGGGGATGTAGCGCACGGGGGTCGGGGAGCGCACGTTGCGCGTGGGGGGCGGCGAGGACGACGCAGACGCAGAGCGAGAGAGACTCGGTGCGCTTGAGGACGCAGACGTGGACACGGAGGCGGAAGCGTCGCTGTCAGAACCTGACGAGCTGGGGAGCACGAGGACGCGCGGCTGCGGCGAAAGCGGAAGCGCCCTCCGTCCGTCAGCGGCGTCGCGGATGCGCTGCTCGACGTCGAGCTCGCCCTCGAGTGCGCGTAGGCGGCGGAGCTCCTCCATCGTCTCGAGGTGTCGCGCAATCTCGTCTGCGGTGGGGATGTGGAAGACGGGCGGGCGGGTGCTGAGCGTCGGGGCTGGGGCAGGGCTGGGAGAGGGAGTGGCACGCGAGTGCGGAGCTGAGGTATTGTCTTCTCCGTCCTTCAAGCTCGTCACCGGCATCGCCGCGTAGTACACGCGCGTTTCAGGTTCACTCGTCAACCTCCTCCACTCATCAATATATTTCTCGGCCTGCGTGCTCAGACGCGGGGAGGAATAGTAACACTCCTCGTGCGGGAAGTACGCATCGCCGGTGAAATTGTCGTCTTGGAGGAAGTCGGGGAGGTGGAAGGTGGACTGGAAGCTGTGGCCGCGGTCGTATGTCTCCTCGGATACGGGTGGCGCCTGGATACTCGACGGTGAGCAAGGAGCACTGATGATGAGCGGGTGGCACGGAATATATACTGACCCCCCACTGGTCCAGCCGCCTCACAAAAAGTTTCTGGCCCCAGACGTGGTCTTGCTGTCCGGCGAAAGCAATCTGTAATGTGTGTGAGCTGGGTGGCACGCGACAAATCATTCACTGTACCTCAGACGCATTCACATAAGGAATCGGACCGAACTGTGCTCGAATTGTAGCAGCCATGGGATTGATTTGCAGGGGATGAAAGCAGATTGGAAGTATGAGATAAGATTTAGCAGAGCAGACGATATCAGGGTGGATGAGGGTGGGAGGAGGAAGAAAGGCGAGTGGCTTTTCCTAAAGAGGCGATTGCTTTATACTCCCAACTTGGCCGCTTTGATTCCTGTTTGATCGTGACAATGGGAGATTGTTTCGTGTTGGCACTTGGGTGGCTTTGGAGGTCCATCCATCCATCCACTGCGGGAGTTCATTCTTGTCGGGATCTCCCAAGCGCGGGCCCAAGCGCAATTTATATTGCAGCTGCGGTGAGCCACTCGACCTGACATCAAAATGTGCTTTGAATAGGAAAGTGTCGACTGGGACCTTCGGGTGGAAGCATTGTAAGCGACTGACTGATTGAATTCTCTAACAAAAGATAGTAAAAAATGGAGCTTGTCGCATTCAAACCCAGGGTCAAAGGCAGTCAATAGACGAAATGATGCAGTAAAAAGTCGCTCCAAAAAATCGGAACACACACTTCAAGGGTATCGTTTGTTGCTTCAAATATGATCTTCTCGCTCGCTCGAGCTCCTTCCGAAACGATGCTGAGTTATCATTCCCCCCCTCAAAAAAAATCAGCACTACGAATCATGACCTGCCTCCGAGTCGAACGGAGATTCTGCCCAAAACACACTCGGTGCCACGTCAAATATCGCAGATGCGCACCAGCGCCAGCAGGTCGCTGTTCTACGTTCTTGCACCCCCCGTTTCAGTGACAATTTTCAGGGTATGTATTCCAGTTTCGTCGAGAAAAGTTAGCAGACTTGAATAAAACTTTGCGCATGCTTCAACCTCTAACCGTAGTAAGTACTGGCTCGATGGCGGGACCACGCCCAGACGTCATCGTGGAGAGCTAATATCCAGTCTCGTGTCCGCCGGATATCCCCGTTGGATTCGGGGTCGAGCCATGGTCCAGGAAAAAGTGATCTCCTTTTTTTTGCGTCCGGGTGCTGGACGACTTTCTACAACAACAAATCAGGCAGGGTAAGTTGAAAAAATCTCATCACTGTGCACACATTTTGATTGTCTTCCAATGGCAGATGAGGGGTAGAATAGAGATCCAAACGGCCGGCGGGAAAAGACACGCGCACGATACTGAAGTTATGAGGACAGCTTCGAGCCTCCGACTTCGACTCCGAGCTTCCACGGCAGGAATTTTTGTCTCTAAAGATCAAAGTGACCACAGCTGATTGGCAACCTCCAGGAGAAGATGAGCATAGCTCTGCAGAAGTCAGGACGTCGACAGCGCGACATTGACATTGAAGTCGACTTATTGACGCGTCCCGACATTATTGACGCGTCTCAACACGTGGAAGAGGTCTTGAGCTTGAACGTGCCAGGGCCAGTGGGCTTGGACCTAGTGACGGCGTGTGTCCCCTTGCTGTTGCGTTTCAGAGGCGCAACGGCGGACACTGCGTTGCGCGGCTTGACGCCCACCTTGGTGTTCTTCGCCGTGAAAACCTTTCGTGCAGCGGGCTTCGGTGGCGGGGGTGGGCTACAGTGTAGTCGGAAACGACGTGAACAACTGTGCGCTGACGTAGGCTCGAGCCGCGCTGGGGGCTGCGTGGCGAGCGTCGGCGCCGGAGTGGGGATGCGGCCGACTAGCGGGCGGGCGGGCGGGGGCGGATGTCGATGCGGAGCCGGGTAGGTAAGGAACGAGGGCATTGTCAATGAAGCACTGTATTGACGCGGTGGTAGGAGTGAAAGACGCGTCGAGAAATCCCCAACCAAACAACCCACATTTTATGTGTTCCCAATCGGGACTTCCGACATTTGCAATCCGCGATCGTTCCGCGGATCCTTTTTCTTTTCAGTACAGGTATAACCGACTCTGGAACTGAACCGTCTACGCGCTCAACGCGAGATCGCTGCTCGAAAACGCGTCGAATTCCCGAGTTGGGAAGCGAAAACCGCAAGTTGAACCATAGAGATGTGGTTGAAATCGCGTCTCGGATTTCGGGCCGAATATTATGATGCGACACCGATGATGATTTAAAAAAAGCATACTGTCGCACGTTCCACAACTTCCAGCAAGCAGAACCGGTTCGATTCACGCGTCCGAACTCTTTGCGAGCTTTTTTTCCCGTCGCGCAAGCCTGTCATCACGGTCGACAATTTCTCTGTTAACCCCTTGTATAATGAAAGCCAACTTGATTCATCCGCAACTCGTTCATTTTTAACCATCGGCAGATCAGATAATTTGACTTGCACGTGGTGAGCGGTGTACGCCTGCTGCAATCGACCGAATGATTTCGTGTTACACGCGGGAAGACCGGGTTCGATTCCCGGAGTCCACCTGCTGGACGAAGGATGTTTTTTCTTGTTCCTTGAGATGCTTTTGTTGATTTTCCTGTTGGCTCGTGGATTTACCAGAATAATAGGTCTCAGGATCATGAATACGGCTGGCTCCATTTTCCTTGAAGGTAGATCGAATTTGTTATTGTATGCTCGCCCCAAGTTCCTGCAAATTAACAGGAGCATATTCTGCACAGCTGTAAGCCACATCTTCGCACCTGTTATTCATCCGCAAACATCTCCTTATTACGATGCTACAGATGGTACCATGGTAGGGGATGCACCGGACGTGGTCCATGGCGCACGCCTGCTTTTCATGCGTTCTCTTCCTGGACATCCATGCAGGCAGGAGAATCGGGTTCGATTCCCGGCGTCCGAATACATCCAGTGGTGTCTTTTTTTTGATGTTGGGGGTCTACCTTGATCCAGCCAGTTCAACAAAATAGAATCCAATTATTCCTGTCTGTTCATCGTGGTATTAACTATGAGGGCAAAGGCTCAGCCGTTGCAAATTATAATCCAACCAGCTGGACCTACTGTACTATTAAGTTCAGTTCGACAGTCACGGGTCACAGGCACCCTTGTCGGTGTCGAAATTTGGAAATTTGGTTAATGTCACGCGTCACCCCACGGTAGTGTCGAATTGGTCCCACGGTTCGAAAAAAGTGCAAAAATTCCGCTGTCGTGTCGGTACCCTCTATTTATAGTGAGTAGAGCTGTGCGGGTAGGACTTTTCTGATCAAATGTAACTGAAAGGCATCCGAAGTACGGGTTTGAAGGGAAAATTGTGGGAAAGAGGTTCATAACTGGTCGGAAATTCATGTCTAAAAGCAAGATTGGGCCGGAATTCTCATTTTTGTCGCCTCCAGCTTCAGGAATTTCCCTCCAATGCATTTCTGAAGCAGGGAAAATTTCGGAGGCGTGTCGAAATTTTGCCGCTGGTCACGGTCACCCCACCCGGTTGTCGAATGTCGAATGTGGTTCAAATTGTCACGGGTCACACCCAGTGAAAATCCCTTATGTTGGGATCTGCTAAGACCTGTGAAAATCTGCTGCAATTTGACTCACTTATGCTCAAATCTGCTGGTATCTGTCGGCAGCATATAAGTTGCAAGATATTGGAAATTGCAGCTAATTTTGGGCGGCTAAATTGAGCAGACCTCGCACAATGTTGGACTTTGTAAAAATTTTGCAATTTTGCCGCCTCTAAGTGACGTGCGCACGGACCAAGTCGAACGGGGGATCAATCGGACTTTGAAATGCCCCTTGCTTCCTACCTCCATCTTCCCCGCTGCTCGCTCCTCCTCGCCATCCCCAGGCCATTGTTGCTGCCTTCTATGCCTTTCTTTCTGACCTCTGTGATCCTCCGCACGCATCCTGCCGCTCCGCTGCCGACTTCGAGTGTATCAAACCAGCGGTATGAACGTTCTTGACATGTTTTAACGCGACTTTTCGACCGAGGTTGGCTCATAATAAAGCACAGACTTCTCTGCCAACTGCATTCTTCGACCAATCTTCGACTTAAGCATGTGCAGTTGCAATGGTACGTGTATCTTGTGTCAGCTGTATCGAATTGTTACTCTCGACGAAGGTACTCCTCGTTTGTTGACGCTTACACGACGCGCAGTAGCGGCGAATTTCAGGCCATCATGTCACATTGATACGAAACAGGAATTATATTGTTACTTGGCTTCATCTCTTCGCAACCTCGCCTAGATCATTGTGGCTATCAATGTCTCAAGAAACCTTAACTACTTCCCGAGCACTCGGTTTCATTCCATTTCACTGGCGCCCATTCACCATTCTGCCCTATTCCCAGTGAGTCTCCATTTTATCTGGCATGCTACTAATCGTTGCTAGAAACTTTCTTGAGCGTCAGCTCCGTCTCATCGTGTCCGCGGTGAGTCACGCTCGCCTTTGTTATATGCACGTCTCAATCTCACGGACCCACCATCAGGGAAACGACGCCAGTATTTTCACTGCCAGTCCCGTGTCGTAGCGTACGTCCCCGACGACTTACCCGACTTCTTCTCACTCATCATCCTCGCGTTGAACCATTACAGAGCCTCGTACCGCGACCCTCCTGCTACCCTCGAGGTTCTTCAAGTTTTAGCTGTGCACCGTTCGCGTTCCACGGCTCGCGAACAGCGCGTCGCCACGTGAAGGAGCACAAGCACGCGCGTGCATTAGATTTTCGCCCTCATGGTGCGTTCATGCGTACTTTTCCGCTTGTTTTTTCCAACCGACATCTGACGAAGCTTCCAGAATTCTCCAACTATCGTTCGCATAGCTTTCCAGCGCCGCCCTTGCCGGTATGCCCTATTACATTCGCGTTGTCCTAGCGCTTACAAAGTGTTCTCCCAAGGTCGAAATTGCTTTCGACTCGGTTTCTTTTGAACCCTGTCCCCGCTTTTGTTTGTTGGCGCTATGCGACGGTTATGCTGGTAATGGGGTCAATTTTCGAAACGTCACCGATATCGGCGCTGACGTGCAGTTGCCTATGGTCTAGGGGAGGTTGCTTCCATGTAAACTTCATTCCGGCGTTGTCATTTGAATAAATAAGCATTTTTGAAAGCGGTTATGAGCAGTGGAAGCCAAAAATAGCGTAGCATAATCGAAAGCAGATCTGAACATAGCCCGAGCATATATGAGCATATCAGAGCAGACTCCGGCATATTGCCAAAATGTCGCCATCAAAAGCCCATATGCTATACGGACAAAACTATGCTCCAATCTGCTGATTTATGCTGTGTTTTGGGGGCGCAGATTTGAACAGATCTGAGCATACCCGGGCATAGGGGGTTTTCACTGGGGGTCACACCCCGTGTCGAATTGAACGTAATAGTACAGTACTCCATTTTGCGTAGCTGCAGGCCGCACCTTATGTCCGTGCACAACCTCTCACGGTTAACCAGGTTCAGCTTAATTGGTTTACATCCGGGACCTGGGCTGTGGTGCACGCTTGCTGCGATTGTTCCGGACGGATAGAGCAGTTACAAGCGGGAGAACCGGGTTCAATTCCCGGGGTCCGAATGAGCGTTCTTCCTATTCTTTCACCTTTAAACTACAGCTCGAGGGGCCCGGAGAAAATGCCGCAAATTGACGCATCACTGACGCATCACTGACGCACCATTGACGCATCCATGTCCCGTTTTCATAATTCACTGTGTATGGTGTTGAAAATGAGTCTAGTGAGTGGTTGAGCATTCCATAAGATGATAAAAGTGAACCTTGCCAGTTTAATCCTCCATATTCAACATATTCAGTGGAAGTCCAACCCTATTTTTGGTTATGAAGTACCTCCCGGTCCTCCCGTGTGGGTTGAAGTATTCTAAACATGCATATACACATTCTAATAATCTTTTGGCTCGCTCAAATCCATGGGCAATTTTGAGTTGGATGCGTCAATGATGCGGCACTGCTGTCTCGACGATGCGTCAGTGATGCGGCACCGATGCGTCACTCATGCGGCACCGATGCGTCAAGGATGCGGCACCGATGCGTCAATGATGCGTCAAGTGCGGCACAGATGCGGCAGTGCTGCAGCACGGATGCGTTAATACTGCGGTAGTGCCGCATCGCACATGAAATGTAACCTGATATTTGACATTAAGTCGCTGAAGCCAATGACAACATACTTGCCATGCAACTTCAATCCAAAATATCTATGCCTGCAAGTGCCAAACTTTACCTGAATGTCCTATTTTTGTCTGGATGAAATATCCTGGTGCAACTCAGTGCCGAATTGACGCTCTACTAACTAAAGTCGGTGTCGGATGTATTATAGAGTTCAAACTCTCCCCAGTTCGACGTGAAAAAGGAAACTCGAACCGTGAGAGTTTCCTGTTGCATTACATACAAATTGGATTGTAGTCGAAACTAGCTTGTGCGGAATCGACTCCGCAGATTATGCTTCCGATATTTTAAGCAGGTGGAAGGTTGGATGGTGTACACAGTGCTTTGGAGGACAATTGGTTGACTATTCAGCAATGGTTGGATCTTCAGACTGCCAGGCAATCCAAAACTTTCGACAAGTAGGATGAACCCTCGGGGATTCTGCATATTGAAATGTCCCTCGGATCAACGATATTTTTGTGTGCGCAGGCCGCAACCGGAAATGAACAGGATTTAGTTTCTGCAGTAGAACACAGGCCTCATTTCTCGCAGATCTATTGTGTTGAATGATAGTCGTGTGACCAAACACTAGAGTGTGTACTCTAATCTCTTCAAATTGAGGTACCCAAGGCAGGTAGCAGTAAAATCGAATTTTTACAGTATTCACAAACACACACAGCTGATAAAGGACAGGCAGTGTTTGTGTAACAGTGAGCAGATCGAGAATAATCTCACGGGGGAAAAGGAAATATACTATTATCAATGCACCGAAGATACCTTCCATGAACTCAGAACGAGGAGCCCCGATTCGGCCCTGGAATTTACGATGCCCTGGCTCGAAATATTTAGAAGAATCCTGGAGTTCAAACCACTATTTCCCCTTGTTTCTTCGGCAAAAAAAAAAAGCAGACCCTTGCAAAGAAACGCAGCTTTGTAACACCCTTCGTTGGTAGCATCTTTCATACTGTGTTATTCGAATGAGTCCAGTCTACCGTGTCCCGCGAAATTGAGACTGTTGGTGACCGATGAAGATCGGAATAAATCGGTCTCATCCAGTTGGGTATTGAACCGTGGGAGCAGTTCGGATCCTGTTCCTCAGTTAACCTGTTGCTCAGTTAACCAATGTGAGCGGTGACAATGTTTTTAAAAGAAGGCATGGATGTGGCAAAGATAGTTGTGCCCAATACGGCTGATACTGCTCAAATATTGACTGAATGAGGCTACCCAGCTGGGGTTTATGAAGTTGAAAGTATATCTTTGAGAAGAAGAATGCAATGGTTCTACAGTATGGTTGAGCGTACAAGATAAGATTCTATTAATAAATAAGCACAGCAAAGAAATCGAAATGTGAGCCCTTGGCTTCACAATCTTGACTTTAAATGCCAGCTAGCAGGACACAGTTGAGTGGAAATAGTTGAAGTATTTACATGGTCACTGAAAAACCGCAGCGCACAGTGCATGTCGATTTCGTCTTTTCAAGTATTTGAGTGACCTGACTTTCTTGCGTAAATTTACGACGGTCTGTGTTGGCAGTTATGACCGTGGCGCAGCTTTGCGCCTAATGCGTACACCTCCGTGAATGCATGAACGATAGCCTGAAAGCGACGAAAAAATTAGCTGAATCGTAAACACGGTACATGCTTATTCTCATTTCCACTCTTCGTGTTGAACCTTCCAACATATTTCTTTGTCTTGAAGGAATACCACTCTCTTAGATACATAACACCTATGATTTAAGCTGGAGTGGGAGGCACGGCGTGTGAAAACTTAAAAGTAGGGTTTGAACTTGAGGCAAGCTTGAACACAGAGGGTAGTCTAGAATGTAACGATGACCTGGCGCAGATGAAGGGACTTTCAGTGCGATTCGATTAAGTGCAATAAAAATATGCGGACGGAACGAATCAATACCGTACCGTGGAACGGAGGAGATTGCCGCATGGAACCCGAAGTTCTTCCCAACATAGAAAGGAAATAAGAAAGAGGAAAACCACACAGCGACAGCGCGGTGACTGACTAGAATTTGAAGTGTTGAAATAGCGATCAACATCACAGATTATACCGGACTTCGACATTTAAGTACGCTCAGCCGAGATGCATGAGATATGGTTCCAACTATTTCTTGTTGAATTTGGGACTTGGAGTTCAATTCAAGGCAAGAGAGATATTGCCTGCATGGAACATAGAGTATCGGGCTATTCGGTGAAAAGTCTGGATGTATAGTGGCTAGCTGTTCACGCGAAAGAACTTGAACAGCATTCTGAATGCAGGTTGAAAGCGAGCGAATGGGAGTTATTCAATGAGAATAGAGTTGCCAAGACTGAAGCCTGTCCCGAGGGCAGACTCGTCCAGGGACTGTCCCAAAGAAGTGTGAATGGAGACGTGTATCAAAAACCATGTTCAATATATCTGCGATGCCGAAGAACACCCTGAAATGAACGATATATGCATTATAGAAGCAAATACATGAATCCTTCGTGGCTCAATGAAGGATTCTGCTCAATCCAACATGGCTTGAGCTGGATTGACCAAGGCTTAGGAGTTGTTTGAGGACAACCAGAAACGGGTTGTATCCCCTGCCTCTTGTTCTTATATGATGTATCGAACCTATTAAAGACATTATAACGAGTTTTTGCTGCCAGGCGGGGGAAGTACATTGAATGGGAGACGATGCGGCAGTGGATGCGTCAATTCTCCCAGTGATGCGGCAGTGCTGCGTCACTGATGCGGCACTTTGCGGCAGTTGCGTCACTTTTACCCAGCCCCAGCTCGAGGTATTGCAAATCGACAAGCGATGTCAAGATTAAATTCTGCATTGTCAGCTCAGTGCCGCGGCACCTGGCAGTATATATATCCGGCATACGCACAACTCTCCCGCTGTTAACCACCTGCGCAGATCCTAAATGATAAAATCGAACGTGATGTATGACGCACGCCTGCTTCAATTTCGCTCAACGAGGTTGAGTCCGACCAGGAAGACCGGGTTCGATTCTCGGCGGCCGGATAATGATACCTTCATTAACTTTTTGGCTCTCGCTCTACGCTTTGTGGTTACAAGAACGCAACGGATATCTGTTACGACTAATATTCAGGCTGTCAACTACTTAGCCAACAACCAGCTCGCCCTCTTGAATGTCAACCAACGAGATCTATTCATCTCATAGAGAGCTGTACAACACTTAAGGCCCACCAGTATGTTCATGGACAACCCTTTCACATTCCGGTTCTGGCACCTGGGTTACATCGGACGTGGTGTATGGTGCACCCCTGCTCTGATTAACCAGAATGGGTCCGCCTACTTACAAGCGGGAGAACCGGGTTCGATTCCCGGCGTCCGAATAGCTGGTACTCAACTCCCTTTTTTGTTGTCTTTATCTTCGTCCACGAATATCAAGGAGGTAAATGGAATTCGTTATGATACATTCACCTTCTGGTACACTGAGGTCGGTAAACCCCCTGAAATTCCCCAAACGACTACCTGACTTCCACAAGTCATCATGAAACATGATGGAAATGTTTTCAGGTACCTGGTCATTAATGTATTCAATTTTCTCGAAGTTCAACTGGGTGAAATTTCAGGATGAATCATCCTGAACGTATTCAGGCCAATATACAGTGAATTTACAGAAGACGGCTCAAACTTGTACAGCACTCTATCCACCACATCCTCTGCGGCGCCCATTATATGGACGGGCACGGGCGGGACGAGGCCAGGGAACGATTGGGACATGGATTGGAGCAGAGTGGAGTAATGACGTCATGGTCTGTATATATTTGCAGCACCAGTGACGTTGTGACTCATCCTCCCTCTTCCTTCAACCACCACCTCTGAGCACCTTCGCCGCCACACACTTCCAACCTGATCGCTCTCGTGGGTGGCCTCGTCCATTTCATTATGAGGGTCTAGACATGGCGGGTGGCTTGGGTACAGCATGCAAAATACGGTGTGTCGTACCTCTCTCTATACTCGGCATTTCTGACCTTGATTGGATTTCTCCCTGGATATATATTAAGGACCGGTATGTTGCTGGTTTCGGTTCTTTTTAATGATGACTTGGTAGCTCAATGAACTTACCCAGGTGAGTCTTTGTTCTTGGACTAGTAATCCAATTCCTTTCAGCTGACGCCATGTTTACCAGGTACAGTCAACTGTGCCTTGTTCGTCTGAAGAACCATTCGAAATCAAGTGCTGGATCGCAAGCGGCACAAGAGTTAATACTTACCTATGTACCTATGTAAATTCACAATGAAATGAACTGGTTTTCTCTGTATTTTTGGCATGGGAATCAGTCTGTTCGAACATGAATTTAGTCGTCAATCACGTACCTTCAACACGAAAAGAGCTGACATTCGAGCAAAAATATGTTGAACTGAGGGTATGGAATCTTTACTTTTCTACCTGACTCTCGGGTGCATGGAATTCATCATTTGGCCCTGAAATTTCAGTCGTTTTTCGGTGAAATTCAGTATGATTAGTGGTGACTTTATTCCGGGAATTTCAGGCACTCTGCAACCCCCAGTGGTACCCATTACCAGGAAAATGGCTCGACCTCTTTCGAAATGAACCAGCAAGATGGCCTTCGAATTTCGTATCGATGTCAATTGTCCAAGATTGCACGAGTATACTAACCGACGAGTTCTCTCTCACTGGTATCGAAGATATCGGGCGTTGTCTAGGGTGCATCTTTGCTTCAATTATGATCATGATCCACCCTCACTTCAAGAAGGAAAACGGAGTTCGATTCTTGCCGTCCGAATGAACCTTTCCCACTTTTTTCTTTCTTTCCATCCTACTTTGATCCTGCTCGCTACGTTTGATGTGTCTTCTCGCTCATCGTTCTACAATTTACAGGCCACAGCGCGACTTTCAAGTGCGTTGCAGAGCGGGCATGTCCCAGGGAGTATTGTTTTCTTCACAGAGCCCCCGCAAATTTTCGAATGCATCACATTCTATCGAATCTTTGCGAGTGCTGAACGGAGCATTTTTGTACTATATTAGCCACTGGCGAAGGAAGTGGGGAAACCAAGGTATTGCAGCCTGAGGATGTGTTTTGGATTCCAACGTATCTGCGTGAGGAATTAACTGTTGGAAGACTTTGGCTGCGCACAACCGTTGAATAACCAAACATGAATATCTGCCCCCTTATTCTCTACCTTTTCTGTTCTTCCGGGCAAGAACAAGCCGTTGAAGTGGTGGCTGTCGGCGGCAATCGGCATTCGAATCGGCCGATCAACTCCATTGATATTCAAGCTCCGATCAATCCGAATCAAATGTCCCTTGGCCAGCACGACGATGACCACGATCCAGAACGTACCCACCGGCGCAAACGAGACCCACAAGCAGCGGAAATCTACAACTCTCCTTCGCGCCCGTCTTGGTGCAATCGAGCAGCAGATGGCTGTGCTTGAATCTCAGATGACGCTTTTGCGCGGAGAGCGAGAAGAAATTCTTCAGGATCTCGCTGTCGAAGTATACCCTATCCTAGGTGCGTTGGAGAGGTCTCTCGCTGAACCTCGGAGCGCCAGATCGCGAGAAGGAAGTTTCGAATCTCGTGAAGGCGTGCTCTCGAGGTCACAGCCCCTCCCGCTTGTAATACAAATGGACACTGACCCATTGCTGAAGCAGCCCGCGTTGGAATGGCTCTCAGCACTCACTTCGGAGCGTTCGCGGTTCGGATATGTCGAGATGAAGAGATCCCGGGACGAGCAGCGCACGCTCTTCGCGGGCTCGATGCCTGCCCTCCGGCATTTTGATTTGTCGACTCACCAGCCCATCGAGCCCCCAATCACATTCCCCGATGTCCCGCTACTGCGAAGCGCCCTGCTCGGAGTCGCCGCCGCATATGGTGTAATTCTGCCCTGGAGGCAGCTAACGACGCTCGCGACGTTGACAGGCGTATACATCTTCGAGGCCGGCCCTATCCTGCAGCAGACGCCGAGCTTGGTGCATTGCACGCTCGTCCTTCTGTCGGATCCATTTGGCGAGAATACCGAGGAACTCGTCGAGTTTCAGCGCCTGGAGTCGCTGGTTATAATGAATTCGAACGGACAGAGGCCCCGGCGGCACATCTTCTAGGAAGCTTCCTCGTTCCAGCGCTGCGCACGCTGCGCATCCCGGACGACTACCTCGCGCCGGAGCCCATCGAGACGCTGAGGTTGTTTATTTTGCATTCGGGGTGCTCGTTGGAAGATGTAGGTCATAGTCTGGGGAGATTTAAGTTAGCGAGGTGTCGAATTTAAGCAGTTCCCGATTAGGATAGTGCGCGATTGAACTGTTTTTGTCTCACGGTTGAACATGAACTGTTCCGGTGTGACATCTCTGAACTGTATTATGATTCACTCTCTCGCTGTACACGGCGCCAGCTTCGTGCTTATCTTTCTGACATCTGATTGGACCAGCAAATCTTTTACTTTGACCATGCCACCTCGACGAAGCTCTCGCAATAAGGGGTCTTCCCCTGCGCGGAAACCATCGTCAACTCCCATTGCTAAATCCCAAACCTCCAAAAAGTCCACCAGTGCCAGGAAACCCCGCACAAAAGCCACCAGCTCGGCATCTGCTCGATCTTCTGGCTTGTCGTCTGCATCCTCATTGCTCAACAACAGCCAGCAGACAACTGATGAATGGTACAAGTCACCGAGGACGAAAAAAGGTTACGGGAACTACGTGAAAAGCGGTAAAAAGTGGGTTGCGGAGTGGACTGGAGAAGGCCATTTGGATGACGAAATCTCTGCGGATGCCTTCGACAACATCACGGCCGAGACTCCGCTAGCACTGAGAGCCCTTGTCGCATATAAATGCGAGCATCTTGAGCGAGGATTCGCGTCTGCCGAAGGTCTACGTTCCGCTTTCAAGGATTATTTTGAGCGGTTGGTGGATTGGTTACTCTACACAAATTATTAACTTATGAAACACCTTGTCAGTGTTTGTGGATGTCAAGGGGATTTTTGGAGGTACAATCCTCACACTGATAAATACGAAGGCAATCCCGTCTTCGAAAGCGGGTTCAAGACGTATTACGAGTCACTCAAGAACCGTCACAACCGGACAAGCACTGCAACGCAAGCACTTCCAATGTTGCCTGCTGATCTGAAGATTATCATGGAGTACCTGGACAGTGAAGAGGCAATTAAATACTTCACCCTCACCCAGCGTCTGTACTTCAAGGCATTTGTAACAACTGCGTTTACACTTTGGACTCGGTGCGCTCCTTCGAATCAAATTTTATGCAGAACTGATCTCTGAGGATAGTAGCGATGAACTTGTCAATCTTCAATTTATAGACATCAAGCTGAACATGCGTTCGCAAACGGGTATCCCGTACCACGAGTTTTCCCTCATTTTCCGTAAGACTAACAAGGACCCGACCAAAAGTGAGTTTCCAGTTTAGTGCTTCGCCTCTGCAACCCGCTAATGACTCAAAGTACAAAAATACATGGTCCAGCTCGATCTTGCGCATCCTGAGATCGACTGCTATACGCATCTTAATGCCTGGAAGACACATATGGAAGGTCTTCTCCAACGGCGTTTAGTTGGGACAGATTTTGTTTTTCCGGCACTTGCGTCCACAGGGCAAATCAAGTTCGGTGAATGCACAAGTCGTTCGGCGTTTGAAACCCTGCTGGATGCCGTTGTGGAGAAGTCGGATGTTATGCGTGGTCGAAATGGTAAATTTACCACGCATTGTTTTCGTCGCGGCGGAGCACAGTATCGTTTCTTGTGGGCAGATCGCAAGTGGAGTTTGAAGGCCGTGAAGTGGTGGGGAGGTTGGTCATCAAACGAGAATGTGAGTTCTCGCGGAAATGCATTATATTGGCTAAACAGTTACCAAGGTTGGGACGCTCATGCGGTATCTGCTTGATGAGCTGATGGCGTACGAGGAAGGTTTCTCAGATATTATGATGGATGATCGTGCAGCTGACCGTCATGAGACATTCATGGGCGAGGATGAGACAGCGCCAGTTTCAAAAGCAGACCTTGTTAAATTTGAGGCGCTCATCGTGTCGAGAATTCAAGGACTCGTTGCTGGGCTATCCTTTCCGGGGAACCACAGTATTTTTCCTTCTCTCTCTTGTCAATCACAGTTACTGATTGTGTTTACAGGTGACGGACCCCCGTCTGTACCGGAAATCAATCACAGCGACCACCACCATGCACCTGAGGTGCCCAAAACGGTGTCGACCAGCACTGCCGACCACCAGGGGTCCGCCGTTTCTCCTCCGTTGCCACCCCCAGCACCATCTCGGATCCCAGAGACAAAAACTCTCGATGATGCACTTGAATATTGGGAACACGGGTCACCTCAGAAAGGTCTCAATGTTGCTTTGAAGACCTGGTC